TTTCTGAGGAACTACATTGTTTGGTGGAAGAATACTGTTTTTATTAATATCATTACACTTTATTTGCTCTGTTTTATTTTATGAAACCTTACTACGTATATGGAATAACCGTTTTATAAAAGCAATAAGCCCCGTGAAGCTGTGGTTTACTCCGCTTCGCGTCGTGCCTAACAACGCCCCTTAGCTGTTATAAATTCACTGTAAACCACGGCTTCTTGGGGCTTATTGCTTTATAATCTGAAAGTAGCATTTTACATACTTCTAAGATTTTAAGTCTAACTGCATATTCAATACAATTAAGTGCACTTCTTTTTCACAAGGGAATAGCTTATATTTAACTTTGGATATTAGACTGGGGAAGTATTTTAATATTGAATTACACCAATAAACATTCTTATCTTTCTGTAAAAAAAAATTCTGTTATTATTCAAAAATATTCATGTTCTCTTACATTCAAAGGAGCAAGTTTTGACTAGTCTAATATTCAAATCTAAAAAATGGCAGCTCAGTTGAATGTTTGAACTAAATATGGATGTCTTAGCAACTGTACATGGAACTGTGTGTGTGGAACTGTTTTGAGAGTGTAAAGAAGATTTATTTTGGGTGAGCAGAAAGGCACTGATTCTATCTGCTGCCTGCAAACATCATCAGAAACAAACAAAAAAATGAATAACAGCAGCTTTCACCAGCAGCAGGGATCCAGTTTTCAGTGCAATTTGGCAGAACAATAGTGAACTCTGACTGTGAACCTTACTTCAGAAATTATTTGAGAAGAAAATAATACTTTAGGAGGTTTCATCAATCTCTTATATAGCTCTAATATCACCTCTTCTTACAGACTGTATGTTTCCCAGTGCCACTTTGTACAGTACAGTACATCTATGTTCTTACAGTATTTGACTTGCATACACAAAGACATGCCACAATATGCTCATGCATAGACAAATTGGACACATAAATTGGTATGAAGAAGTCACTGATTAACTGGTTTGTCTGTTTTGACTGGATTTGACAGTTTGCACTAATTTTTGCTATTTAAGTAATTTACAGGCAAGTCTTATCAAGTCTATGGTAAAGTACACACTAAAATAATATTGTGTGACAACACAACTTTACAGACCCAAGTCATCACAGAAAGAAGCTTCTAAAAAGAAATGTATATGCATGACTGAAGTGAAGCCAGACATTTATAGTTTTGCCAAATAACCTCATATCAAAGAGCATGATGGTAGAAGCGCTATAGGGCTGCATTTCTGCTTGCCATCATAAGCCTACTATGAATTTTTACATCGCATCATAGAGTACATGAGAATACCTTTCATGCTGAAACATAATTGGGCCTTGCAAATAGACTAAACACAAAACTAATGACTCAAAAAGAAGAAACAGGAGGTTCAGTTTGGCAAAGTCAAGACTATGTCATAACTGGCAATACATGCAAGAAAGCTCTCATATGATTTCTGCAAAAGCTCTCAATGCCAGCTTTTGAAGTTAGAGGATAATATGCACATAAATTGAATATACACTATCAGGAAGAAAAAAAACTCACTGGGTGGTACCATTTCAAAAGGTACTAATATGTACACTTTAGATACTAATATGTACTTTTAAAGTACTTTTGAAATACTAATATGTACCTTTAATGTACTAATATGTACCATTTGGGGGTAAATAAAGTACAGAGATGCACCTTTTAGCTTTTGTACCTTAGGGTATCTCCCATGACAGCTTGGCTAAGTCATTGAACAAAGAATTGCAAAGGACAATATTCACTGAATAGATGTTTATCAGTATTGATACAGTGAAGATGAAATTTACATATATAACTGCCAACTCATGCTTCTCGCAAGTTGGCAAACACAGATGTCAGACAATAACAAACTGTGCGCTCAGTTTTGTTTTTTTTGTTTCTTGTTTTATATCTACAGTGTTCTTCACCAAAAGCTGCTTCTCTAACCACACTAATGTACTAGACAGTAAAATGACTTGCTTATGATTATGCAATAATCAAATTCCAAAGGCCAACGATGAGTTTGATAACACTAAATGTTATAATGACTTCAACGTCAGCTATGATCATCTAAATCAACAAATTTTAATTACTGGTCATTCGTTGCAAAGTCCCACCCATTTGAGAGATCACAGTATCCTCATATAGAGAAGCCAGGCTTACAGGTGGGACAAAAATACATGAATGGTAGACAATCAAATAAGTTTTTCTGTTGAAATAGTGACCACCAGTGTGCATGTATCTATGCAGGACCCAAAATGATGTGTTTAGAGTCTGATATCCAATCAGCATCCATCTGTGCTTCATTAAAATCTCCCATACATACAGTATATTGGCATATGTTAATTATTCACGTACAAAAACATGGATTGTTATTTCATGCAACTGTTTTACAATTTTATTCACTAAAATATTAAAATGTACATAAATAAATGTAATTTCTACATTTGTAATGAAATTATAAAGTAGTCTTAAAGCAATCCATTCAAGCTAATAAGCTGAAAAACACTCGTTTTTGAAAAGTGTAGCCAACTTTGCTTTAGTACATTATGAAATGAATGCTTGTTCTGAATTCTGACATGATTGTAACAACTCAAGATTTGATCATTTTCAGACAAAACTGTGATGTGAATGGAAGCACACTCAGTGGCATATCCCAAGCTCTGCCCACACCACAGCAGCCTTCTTACCCCTGTCCCTGTAATTTAAAGTAACGGAAAGTACCAGCTCATAGCCAGAAAAAATGGTTTTCAATAAAGACCAAGTATTCAAATCCTTAACCTCTATTTTGTTAAAGCCGCAGCATTTCCTTATTTGTTGTAAATTATCAGATTTACAGTCCAAATCACTCTAATGCTTGTATATCTGTTTTTAGTTTTCTCATTGAATTCCTCTGTATATAATATTAGTTTTTTTTTTCACTTTTCAGTCTTAAAACAACACTTCAGAAGAAGCTCTGCAGTGACTCTGTGGACCTCTCTAGCATCCCTTTATCAACTCGCGACATACGGCATGTGGCGTATTACCTCCAGACCAGTGGGGGCGCTGTGATATCCGTAGATCTTAGTTTCACTGAGCTCCGGGACGAGGGCCTACGTCTACTTCTGCCCTTCCTGGGTGCATTGCCCAAACTCACAACACTGGCTCTCAATGGGAACCGTCTGACTCTTGGCATCCTTAAAGATCTGAGTGAAGCCCTCAAAGATTCCAAGAAGTTCAGTTGTCTTGCCTGGATTGACCTGGGCAACAACGTGGACATATTTACCATGCCACAGGTAAATCAACAGAATCTTAAAATCAATCACAGTCCCCCTTATTGTAAGAATTACACTGTGATACATGCTTCATTTTGGGTAAAGGACAGTTGTACTGCAAAACTTGATGCCTTCTTTATAAGAGGTACAACATGGATTAGCCAAGTAGGACTTCCTTGATGCTCCTGGAGCAATATTTGCTGACAAACAGTCATAGCCCTACTTTAACCTACCCCTAAAATTAGAGACAAGAACATTGTCTGCCTATCAAACCTAACTCCAGCCTTAGGCCCAATCATATTTCTTAGCCTAAAATATTATTGGCTGATTGTAATGTTGTTCCAGGACCATCAAGGATGTTGATCCAGGAACTACTTGGAATCTACTTGGGTTAATCAGGTTATGCGAGATAAATATTTGTTTTATATGTTTTCACTCACCATTTTCAACTGGCAGGGTGAACCATTTAATTAAAGTCCTATTTGGATGGGATTTCCCTGAGGATAAAAGCATCAATTTGTTAACATTAGTTAGTGCTTTAGGTATCCTGAACTAACAATGAACAATACTTTTACAGTATTTTTATTGGTTTCTGTTAATTTCTACAGTATACATTTTACGTATAATTATAAATTATAACAAATTATAATATAATATAATACACTCTTGGGAAAAGGTACAACGCTGTCAGTATATATATATATATATATATATATATATATATATATACATACAAAATATAATGCATTATGAACAAACATGAATTAACAATAATATATTTATAGTTTAACATGGACCTAGATTAATACATTTTGTTGCTTTTTGATTGTTCATGATACTTAATGCATTAACTGATGTTAAAAATTGAACTATATTGTGAAGTGTTATCAGTATTTTTACTATATGCTTCTCATTTAGTTTGACCTTACAATACAATAATTTTTTACGTTAACCAACTTTCTCTGTGAAGTAACTGTTAATTACTGCTAGTATCCCATCTAATAAGAAATAAATTCGGTAAGGAGACTTCATGATTTTCTGTAACACACAACCAGACAATAGACATTCTACAGGCATCATCAGTAATTAATTGTAACCCAAAAGTTGTTTAACTGTTTTTACTCTGTTCTCAGCCTCTTCTGGTGGCCCTACGGCGACGCTGTAGTCTAAAGGGCAGTTTGCCCACCATCTATGAGTACACAGAAGGTCAGCCCTATTGCTACCGTGTGGAGAGCTCCATTGAAGAACCCAGCCACTATGAAGAAGAGGAGGATGAAGATGAGGAAGAGGACCTGGAGCCATGGAGCATCGGGGAACAGAAAAGTTCAGGTAGTTTTACCCTGCACCATTGCGAGAGGTGAACCAATCACAATCATTGTCCCCTGACAATGGGATAAAGAAAGAATGGGAGAGCGCAGGCAAGAGATCTCTCTTCTCTCAGTACCATTTCTCCCAATCAACTTTTACCATCTCCCTCCTCCACTGCAGCTCCATGACCTTCCCATTGCGGTTATGTGTGAACCAACAGCAGCGCATGTAAAGAGCCAACTAACCACCTGAACACAGCAAACGGTGAAACACGCTGGTTTGAAATGCTCTTAAAGCTTCCCCATTGACTTACTGTGTTGGCAGATGATGATCCTTGACTCGAGGTGGGGGTTCATTGGAGGGGGCCACAGAGAGTCGCGTAAAAGATGCTTTCTTACGCCACTCTTTGGTCACGAAGAACCAGTGACGGACAAGAAAATGACCAATAAAAAATCCCAGAGTTTGACCGAGTCAGTCGACAGGCTGATGCATACCAACGGTGAATTTGAAGCTCTACGGACCCGGCTTTTAACTAAGGTATGGTTAGGAATTTTGTGGGGTCTGGTCAGGTTTGGTCGTATTTGTCAGTGTTGCATTGCTGAGGCCGTCTCTGCCGCAGCAGACCGGACCTATCACCACTCTGTGTGTGCTCTACTAATCTCCCAACAAAAGCCATGAAACCAGCTCAACAGACTATACAGCCGAGCCACGTCACGTGACGCAAGCAAAACTGCTATGTCAAGACTTTTGCATTTTCCCCACCTTTCCAAAATGTTCACTTGTGAATACCCACGCACCACTTGTCGTGTAGTTGTGAATGATGATACAAAAAGGTAACGCTGTTGAATTGCCAGCGTCTGGTTTTTGTTGTCTGCTAATGATGAACAAAGCTATCTTAGGAGACAACAGGTACAAAACGTTGTTGTATTTGAAAGTCTACTGAATGGATTGTTCACCTTTTTATGTTCAGGTCATTTTAAATATACCTCTTAAATATGTCTTGCTGTGTCAATGCACTGCTTCTCCCTTTGGAATCGTCCAATGAAATATGGTGGTTCATTATGCTATTTCTGTATGGTGTATTTTAATATCTCAAGCACATTGATTAATCATGTCTGGTCAACTTTACTTAAAGTTTATTAAATGTCCTTAACATCATGCTCAAGATAACCTTGCCTGTAACACAAAGTTGCAGCAACACCCCATTTATTTTTAAATCTAATTTTGGCAGACAAGTCATTAATGATCAAATAAATGGACCTTGAGATAAAGAGCTAATGATTGTTCCATGGCCTTCGATTACCTGAGCACTTTAGTCTGTGTTCTCATCAGGTTTGTGACTGAAAAGCTTGTTGTAGCGATGTTGTCTTGTAACATGAACATCTTTGTCATTCTGAAACAAAAATGAGCCAAACAAATAGTTACTGTACTAACCAGCACTTGTTGTTTGGGGGTAAAGAAAGCTCAGACGATCAAATAGTTAAGTGTCAGTGTTATTTAGCATATATGTATTCTTTTAAATGTCAGTTGTGTGTATTTGTTTAATGTTATCTTAATGTTTTCCCAGTGTTGTTGTTGACTTCAGACTATTATATTCTATGTAATATTCCACAACACGTGCTAATAAGTGTCCATTTTTAAAGGGCCTACAAATTCAAATGATGAATTGCCCTCTTGTTAACTTTCCAGAACTGAATATTCAATTCATTTGGACTATTTAGTACCTGTGACAAATTAATTCATAAAAAACATCACTCTTTGCATTTGTTGTTTGGCTCTGTGTCCAGATCATAACAATTATCTGGCTTGTGATCTGCTCATCTGGGATGTTTAACCTGCATAATCTGCGTAAATCTGTTACTCATAAACACCACGATGGTGTCAATACCCACAATGCTAAGCAAGCTGATACACTCAATGTCCGATTATTGATAGAAGGCAGCTTATTTGTGATGTTGTTTTTGTGTCAGTCTGAATTAGCTTTCTCTGTCCGTGTCATATACTGTGTCCTCTGAATCTGTGCTTCAAACAGTTTATAAGATTGACTGTTCAATGCTTCTGTAATAAACTTTTATTAATAATACCATGAGTGTAGCAAAATAATACTTGCTTGTTTATTTTTAATATGGAAAATCGGTGTGAATACGTTTGATGGTTGAAAGTGCCTGTGGAAGGCTGGTGAGGTGCCCATCTGCTGATTGATGTGCTGGAGTGCATGGAGGAGATGCAGAGAAGCTTTTTTTTTAAATGATGGTTTGTGGTGCTAGGATCTGTGACAGCTTGAGGGAATATTACACACACACTCTCACTCTCTCTCTGAAAAGTAATAGCTGAAAAAATTTAAATTCTGTCATTTACTCACCCTCATGTCATTCCAAACCCATACTTGCTGTTATTTTTCCATGGAAAAAAAGAAAATTTTTGAAGAACTGTCCTATAAGCTCTTTTCTTGTACAGTTCCAGTTATAGGAAACTGACCTGTTTAGCTCCAGAATGGACAAAAACACAATAAAAAAGTTTAAACTTATATAAAAGTAGTTCATAGCCAGCTAACAAAAATACGTTCTAAGTAGGTTTTGCTAACGGTCACGTTTAGTTTTGAAAATTTCTGAATCTTCTCTGAATGTTCAAAACATCCAGTTTTCTTTTTTTTTTGTTGTTGTTATGGTTATGCAAATGTTAAAGGAACATTCTATTTTAGAATCTGACCAGCTTTTAAAAAACTGGGCAACATACACTTACTGACTTTGTAACAGTCACAGAGGAAAAACTGGCCATCACACACTAAAGGACTGAAGATCATACATTACCAGACTTTAAAGTCGTTCCGATCACAACAAAGTCACGCTGAAACACGTGCCTTGTTGATAAGAGAGGTGTGACAGATGAAAACAATATGTCCTCCATCTCCTAAAATCGGCTCAAAATATCAAACATGATATTTAGACCAAATTATTTCGTAAAAATCATCCCCTTTAATGTAAGTTTCAGATTGAATATGGGGCAGATTTGACCACATGCATCGGTTATGAGTCACGAGAACCAGTGGCATTTCTCACGCGATGTGTCATTTTGATCAAAAGTCATTTTGTTCATTAATATTTCTGTCTTTTCTTACTCAAAACTGTTGTCTTCAGAAGACTTGCAATATAGCATATTATATGGACTGGGTTTTTTTTTTTTTTTTTTTTTTGCTTGATGGTAGCTTGATAGGAATGGTCACTCTAAACTCTTTCATAAAAAGAAGATTCTCCAAATTCTTCATGTGTTCCATTGGGGAAAAAATAAATAAAATAACTGCAACAAGTCTGGAACAACATGAGGGCAAAAAAATAATGACAGAAAACATCCCTATTATCCTTAGAGACATGAAGCAGGATGCAGACGCCCACTTCCACTCAGTTGAGCTTGTATGGTTCTTGTCAGTGTGTGTATATAATTGTGGTTATAAAGAGTGTGTGTGTTGAACATCTGTAAACAGATCTTCAGCAGTGTGTACACTTGCTTTTGTCACTGTGATCTCAAACAAGAAGTGCAGACTCTTCTGCTCTGTTACATCTGGTTGTATAAACAGTGATGCTGTAACAGCTTTCCAGACAGTCCTATTGAGGCCTTGGGAATTATGCATGTCATGGTCTGTGTTGTTGTGACAAGCATACAGACAGACCCAGGTTACTGCAGAAAAAAATAATACCAGAGTCCTGGTCTGCCACCCCATGGCTAAACAAAACATAAAATAATGGTTAGAAAAAAATCAAAGACCATAATGAATATGAATTTTACCACATTCTTTTTGCTTGTTCCTAAAAGGACAGTTCTTCCACAAATTATGTGTCATTAATTAGGCCACTCATCTTCATGTATCACTAACAAAAATACCATTAAAGTATCAAAAAAGCAGCCCAAATGACACATTCTAAGTATTGAGACACACGAGGGCTTTGTGAGGAACAGACTTAAATGTAAGCCTTTATGTGAAATACAATGTACAAGCTTACACTACCTCTTTTGCAATAACCACTTGACTGTATGACTTACAAAACAATACAAAACAGTCTATTAAATGTACAAGATAATCAACCTAGCATTGCACCAATACAATAAAATGAGTGCTCTGAGGTCATTTTTACCACAAAACTCAAAATTGTTGCCAGTTGCATTTATATTAAACATATAAGGGAATATTAATATTAACCTGTTAACTGTCAGTTCCACTTTTTAAGCATATGCTGGAACATTACATTTGAATCTTATATTTTATATCAACTATTTGTTTTACACAACATGTTGGAATCTACAGCTAAAAAATCCAAGCCATAACAAAAAAAAAGTTCTGTTCCAAATTTAAGGTTGATATCTCAAAAAATTAGCTTTTAGTAAAATTTTGCTTGGGAGCAGTAACAAACTTTTACACGACCACCAAGCTCCATTGGTGAACATAGACGGGTGCACTCATTTCCATACATGGTCTGAGTGATCTGAACCATATTTTTTCATCACACAATATTTATGAAGAAGACATCATATTCAGAAGTATTATGGGGGGTTTGTCACTATTTGATTTGAATTCAACTTCTAACAAACACAAAGTACCTGCAGCAAAAACCTTGTGTGTTACAGTTCGAAAATAGAATTCAATAGAATATAAATATATAACATTTTTGAATATAAATAGACAATATAAAGGGACATTTTAGCTTAGTTTGTATGAATTTATTTACATTCCAACAAGGAAATATTTTGCATGTAATTGTCATTCATTATGCTCAGTCCTGAAGGCTCCCATGGTCTTTTATGCCCAGCTGGGCACCTTATGGGGTCTTCTGTGCTGTCAAAGCAAATGGGGTCCTTTTGATCAGAGCTCACAAAATGTCAGAGCACAGTCAGGCAGCGGTTACCCCACCAGGATGAACTTTGAAGCTTAAGAATGTACGCCTTCACTTGTCTGGACACTTGGTACATTTAGTTCTGAGGATGTTTTTCCTCTAAGAAAATTCAGCTCAAATAACAGCGTGATGGATTGGCTGGGTCAAGCTGAATCTGTTAAACATGAGGGCAGGGAAGGTGATTGCTACAGAGTTGGCAGAGACGGACATCAGAACTATTACTCTGTTCTCTGCAAAGTCTCTTTGCCATTTGTGCCTCTACTGTCACATTAGTCAGAAGGATGAAGAATGAGTGTACAAGGGCTGTCGCTGTCTACGATATCTGCTTATGGCCTCTTGGAGAAAAATACAGCTAGAACAAATCAAATTATTCATTTAAAAATACATAATCTTGACAATGGACAGAAGCAACAGCTAAACAAAGAAAAATTGGATGCTATTCGTCCCCAAAAAACTGACAGATACATTGTAAACACTGCATCTATTTTTGAATGTTCAATCTACCTTCTACATAGTGCATACTAAATACTAATGCTCACTAGTATGTATTACAATGTACAATAGTACACTACATACTATATTATAAATAACTGTGCATTCTATAAAGTATTACACTGTCTAGATCATTTTATTTCCTTTTACACAAACTACCATTTTCAGCTGAATTAAAAAACAAACAACCTCCCACTTGAAGTAAGTGCAAACCTATCAGTGAAGTCTGGCAACCTGAAAGCGAGAGAGAGAAATTTGTCATGTTGAACGATTTTGCCATCTAGTGGACATGTACAAAAACACATCATTAAAAAATCAAAATTGTTAATAAAATCAGCTACGCTGTAAATAAATAAATAAAGACTGTTGTGATTAGTTATCACAACTTTAAATTCAACATTAGAATAAATAAATGTGTTTCAACTTAAAGCAGGGGTCTTCAAGGTTTTTCAGGGTAAGGACCCCTTAGGCGACAGAGACATGGAGCAGGGACCCCCGATACAAAATGTGTCGAGCAGAGCTACATATTAAGCATACAGCCTTACATATTAAAAGAAAATAACCATATTATTATTAAGAACACCTGTAAATTATATTATGTTATATGTATTACGTTAAGACAGCAGATCAGAACACATTGTTGTTGCACATGCATCAAGGCCTGTATCTTACTTTTTATTGTTAAAATTAAACATGAGATCAAAATCACAATTCATTAGTTGTTTGCAGTTGTATATTATTTTAATGGATTTGCAGAGTCATACATTTTAATTTTACTAGTCAGATGGGCATTTACATTTACCTGAAGTTTACTAAACATACGTTAAAACATACGACCGTTGTGGCGCTCCCGTTGACCAGGGAAGAAGAAGCAGCTCTCGTGAACGCACGTTGGAGAATGAAGTGGAAGTGAAGAAAATGTTAGTCGTTATTTTTGTTTTTTGGCGCACAAAAGCATTCCCGTCGCTTCAGAAAATTACAGTTGAACCACTGGAGTAACATGGACTACTTCCGTGATGTTTTTACTACCTTTCTGGGCCTTCGAAGTGAAAGTTTCTTAGGCTGTCAATGAAGGGACAGAAACCCGATTTAATTTACAATATCTTCACTTGTATTCCGAGGACGAACAAAGCTCTTAGGTTTGGAACAACTTCAGGGTGAGAAATTAATGTCAGAATCTTCATTTTTAGGTGAACTATCCCTTTAAATCACATCTAACCCTTACAAAAATTAACCATGGTTTTACTACAGTAAAAGTGTAGTAACCATGGGTTTTTGGCGTATTGATTACCATTTGCATAACCACAGTTTTGCTACAAATACCATGGTTAAACTATGGTTAGTGTAGCAAAACCATGGTTAATTTGTGGTTACCATGGTTTAACTATTAACCATGTTTTTTTTGTAGTAAAACCATGGTTAATTTTCGTAAGGGAAGTACTTACATAAATAAATCAATAGTAAAAGATTTCCATATATATATATATATATATTCTTGGTCTTCAAATGCTAAAATTGAGTTTCTCATATCTCAAAGCATTGTTCATGACTTTTATTCAACAGGTTCATAACCAAAGACAGGAAAAATGTTGAAATGTTAAGACTAAGAGTAAACATTATGTAACGGCCAAGACGAAGTAATACTTTTATGAAGTAACATTACTTCTGATCCCATGCTAATCTCAATTCGGCGTGTGCTAG